ACTGTCAGGAAGTTTCTCCTTAGTTCTAGATTGCTTCTCTCCTTGATTAGTTTCCACCCGTTGCTTCTTGTCCTGCCTCCAGGCGCTTTGGAAAATAGCTTGACTCCCTCTTCTTTGTGGCAGCCCCTGAGATATTGGAACACTGCTATCATGTCCCCCCTCATCCTTCTCTTAATTAAACTAGACATACCCAATTCCAGCAACCGTTCCTCATATGCTTTAGCCTCTAGTCCCCTAATCATCTTTGTTGCTCTTCTCTGTACTCTTTCTAGAGTCTCAACATCTTTTTTACATCGTGGTGACCAAAACTGGATGCAGTATTCCAAGTGTGGCCTTACCAAGGCATTGTAAAGTGGTATTAACACTTCACGTGATCTTGATTCTATCCCTCTGTTAATGCAGCCTAGCACTGTGTTGGCCTTTTGGGCAGCTGCAGCACACTGCTGGCTCATATTTAGGTGATTGTCCACTAGGACTCCAAGGTCCCTCTCACAGTTACTTGGGCCTCATGCAGGTTTTCTAAATTGGAACAAAACCAGCTTCCATGTTTGTAATGGGTCTTGAGAAGCCATAATTAGTTTCAGACCAGATGATTTGCTCTGGATAGATCACATCCTTGTCCACAAAAAATGTTCAGGCTTCTGTCTGATTTCAGGGAGCAGTAGAAGCAGTCAACCACTATTTATCACCTATGGCAGGTTTAATGGGGAAAAATAAACCGCAGCTTCATCTAAACAAAAAAAATATTTTTGATGGGCGAGTAATCTGACTCAGGTATGGTTATGCAGCCTGTCATGGATGAGGCTGCAGTCCTGTTGGAAGATTATGTTAACAATTTGGGAATGCAAATTGGTTCTTTTGGGTGACAAAAATAGTAAAAGCAAAGCTTTTTAAAGCTTTTGTTGGCCCTCTATTAATAACTAATAAATCCAGATCTTACCTCCATATATGCCTTAGTTACTTCCAGGGTACAACATAGAATAATAGAGTCGGGAGGGACCTTGGATGTCTTCTAGTGGTCCAACCCCTAAATTACTATAATCATACTACAGCATGTGAGAATGGCCTTCTCCTTACAAGCCTCCAGAAACTCCCACAAATGCAAATAATTACAGGATACTGTCTAAGGCTAGGCACATAAACCTATCTCACAACTGTTTTGTTGACTATAAATTTGCTTCACTTTTTTCCGTGCTCAGCTCAAATGGTTGGCATTAACATGTAAAACTTTCATTATGTATGGTCAACTCTAGACAACTCAAAGGAGGTCTTTCTTCTCATAAACTTCTCCTGTCATTATCCAGATCTCTACTTCTTGTCTTGCAACTTAGGCTACATTCATGTGATACTTTTATCCAAGTCAGATTAAAAATGTAAACATTTGTACAACATGTGCTTAATTGCTAGTAACTTCGATTAACTCCTTTCGGAGAATGTGTACGTGAACCAGGCTTAAAATCTGGGGTACACCCAGCCTGTCTGGCTATTTGGCAGTGCAATAAATTCTGCAAATGCAGAAAATGTTTTAATTCAGTAAGCAGATTCAGTATGCTGGATGAATGCAGACACTGTGAATTACAGTGGGCAGCTCCTGTCAGTCGGTGTTAAATGGTTGGCAAAATGATTATTTAAAATTTCCTTTGGATGAATATTTTTCTGATTTGTTTTAATTTTTTTCTTTTTCAACTTTAGTCTCTAAAAATTATTGCTAATACTGCTTGCATAAGTTAGGATATTTCTCTTACTATTAGAATAATGCTTATGTAAATGTGTTTTAAATGTGTACCTGAATTCTTCTGGAAATAAGATGGGATGTAAAGTGTTTAAAACGAACAAATAGGTGAGGGGGTTATTGTTTGTAATTGCGTACCATTTTACAAGGGGGCGATGGCTCAGTGGTTAAAGATGCTGAGCTTGTGACATGGAAAGTTGACAGCCCAGGTTCAAGACCTGGGTGCCGTGCGATGAAGTGAGCTCCCATTGTTTGCCCCAACTCCTGCCCACCTAGCAGTTGGAAAGCGTGCAAATGTGAGAATTTATCACTTCGGTGGGAAGGTAACAGCTTTCCATGCCCCTCGGCGTATAGTCATGCCGGCCATATGACCACAGAAATGTCTTTGGACAATGCTGTGGCTCCCTCAGCTAAGAAATGGAGATGAGCACCGCCTGTAGAGTCTGAATTGACTGGACAGGGGAAACCTTTACCATTTTATTGGAGTCCATAAGTAGTGATTATATATTTTCAATATGCTTGGGTTTGTCCTGAAGATAGTGGGACATGTAGCCCATACCATCCATTTGCCTAAATTCAACACCTTCCCATTTAAAGTGTATATATGTGGGAATTCCTGTTTTCCAGGCAGTAGCAATTGAACTCTCTCTGTATTTTGTAGCAATTGAACTCCTTATAAACATTTGGACCTTCTTAACTAGCAAATTGTTTCAGTGCTTGGAGTCTGATCTTTTGTATAGTCATTGCATCAATAATCCAAACCCTTTAGGGATAGACAATTTACATCTGCCTTCTATAAGCATACAACAAGTGCTGATGAGTCTTGGTTGCTGAAGGTGGCTATGCAGTCCAGTCCTCTGAGTAAGTCATTAGTTAAGCTAGATGGCAACCGTTCTTAGTTCTGCTAAGAAATGGGGGACAGTCAAGTCTAGGTAAGAAAGGAAGGATGATAAATAATACGTGAGGTCATATTGTGAGTGGGAAGCAATTTTTGGCAACAACTAGGGCAGTAATTTAGTATCAGGAGATCAGCAAGGAAGGTGCTGTGTCATTCAAAAATACCACATATAAATGTTCACTATTCACATGGAATATCTACCCTTTAGCTATTATCATCGTGCTCTGCCTAGAATTTGATATACTGATGGAATATAAGTACTGGAAATAAAAGAGATGTATCAAACTATAGACAGGTATATTATATGAGGCATATGTCCTTGCAAAGCTCTCTGGAAAACCTGGGTATTTTCCATTTAGGGTGATTTTGCTTTCTATTGATTGTCAATGAAGTAATCCTGCCTCTGCTTTGAATCTAGGCCATTATTGAAATTACATGGTTGTTTTTTTCCCTCTTTTATAGAGGAGATGGCTGAAGGGAAGAATGCCATTCTTCTGGGGATGAGCCAGTGGAATTCCAATGACTTGGTGGAGCAGATCGAGACAATTGGAAAGTTGGATGAAAATCAAGGTACAAATTAACCTGCATCTAAATGAATGGGTGCTATCTGGTTTTTATTATGTAGTGCGGCACAATTTGGGACTGAAATATAGCAATCCTGTCCGCAGCCTATGGTCAGATAGCCTACATCACTCGGCAAGAAAATTTTTGATGGCCTTCTGAAAAGAATAGGACAATCTTACAGAGAAAAAAAAAATCAGCCATGGACTATCCTCTCTTCCATGTAACTACTAACAGGCTTCCATTCTGGGGAACCCATCCATATGCACACTAGGAGAAGAAATGGCTAGCTCTGGCATGCCTTTCCACTTATTTTCACTGAGACTTCATATTCATGTATATATTAGATTATATTGCCAACGGGCATTGCTTGCCCTAAGGCTGAAGAAAGGAGGAAGGGGATCGACTTACCCTTCTGATTTAAATGAGGTTTAGAGACAGATTGGACAAATATGGAGAAACTCTGTTATTCTTTATTCTGTTATTTTGATTTACTAAAAGAATCCTGCAAGTACATGTAATGAACACACAGCTTATAAGACATAGGCAACAGCAAGGAAAATCACAAGCATAAGAGTACCCCTAAATGCAGATAATAAGAGCCAGATGTGATTTTGCTCTGTATTTGACAACTTCAGACTGGCTGGGAAAGATTGAAGCAGAGATAGAGGAAGAAGCAAGGAATCACGGGGCAGCTGTTTGAGAGGGCAAGATATAAATTAGGAGGTAGACGTAAAGTCCTGCAAACCAATAATAATGTTTCTATAGTATTGTTTTACTTTGTTGCTTGCCACACAAAAAATTTAAACAAATTGAATTTATTAATAAATAAATAATAAAGTCCTCAAGAATCCTCATTATCTTCAAACTTATTGGTGCTGGTTGGTTCTGGTTCATCCTCATTTTGATTAGTTCAGATTAGAGCTCCCTCCCTTTGTCCATTTTAGGATTGGCTCCTCCAAACGGTGTTTTCATTTTTGGACCTCTGTGATTGTTAAAAGAGGATGACCCACTTTGGCATTCCAAGTGTCAATCAATGCCCTCTTGATCTGACCCTAGTAGGTCCCTTACTTATATTAGCCAGGTTTCTTATATCCAGGAGTTAGTATTACCAATATATTTATGTTCACAAGAAGGATACAAATATAAATAGAACACATTTTAGTTGGATTCTTTTCTGTAAAACCACTGGGATGATAATAACATTCAACCAGTGTTGATTGCTATGATACAGTATTCAGCATTCAAAGCTAATCAATCCAAGTTTCATTCTAGTTCCAGAGGAAAAAATATACATCAAATAGCATTTAAGTACAGTCAACATTTGTCGACATAAAGAAAAATCAAATAGAGTGGCGATATAAATATTGTAGCAATATAAAGCAGTGTGTATCAAATACAACTAGGTTTATCTGGTGAAACTGTTCGCTTTGTTATGCAGAGCAGTTAGAAACTAAATCATATTTGCAAAGCTTGGCTGGAAACAAAAGTTGTACTCGTGCTACGTTTTATCATTAGTTTAAATAAAAAGAGGAAAAACACGTTTTGCACTGTCTTTTAGTCAAATCCTCTGAACCTTTAAACATCCCTCGTGCAATTTTTCTAATTAATATTTTAGTTACCGTATTTAAAAATATGAGTTTAGAAAAAGAAATTGACAAAAAATATCCAGGATAGTAGGAATACAAATTTTTGTTTGAATTGACATATATTTAAACTATTTACTTTTTTAAAATTGTTCCATATTTCAACTCTTCAGATTTTCCAGTCTCTGTAAATCTGTAGCAATGTGTACAAATTGGTTGGGAAAGGTTTTAAGAAAATGTTGAGGAAGGATACCAAATAGTGTGTTTATCCTCTAAGATGCTTCTTTAGTGTTCCTTCAAAGCATCTGGCTAACCACAGTTTGAGCAAAATACAAATTATACCCAGCCTCTTACTTGTTCACCGTACTTTTTCCAGCATTTTTCCCTGTTCTTGAAATGGAAGGCAGAACTATGTCCTTCCTTAATGGATTTTTATTCATTCTCAAGGGTGACCATTTCCACTAAATCTATTTGAAGTAGCTATGGATAGGATGAGGAAAGACTCAGTTAGTTTGTGCAATTGTTTACACACACACATACACACACACACACATTAAATTGTTGAAGAATGAACTTACCTGCTGAAGTTATATTAGGTAAATGTTATTGCTATGTTTATAAGTAGACTGGTATATATTACCATAATGGGTAATTTTGTAATCTATATAAATAAAAATGTAAATGTCCGTTTGTTCAAGATCTTAAATCTCCGAAAGTTCTTCACCGATTGCTTTGAAATTTTGACACAACGTTGCATTCGAATACGCGCGTGTTGTTATATAGCTATATTATATAGATGTCACACCTGTGACAGGTAAAACATGCTTTTTTTGAAAAACAGCACCATCTGTTGGATGCTTTGAAATTGCCATTGAACATGCAATTCAATTCTTTCTTTTCCATTTAACCAGACTGAGCCACAGCAACGCGTGGCCAGGTACAGCTAGTATAAAATATAATTTCTGTAATTAAACAAAACTACAAAGAAAAAGAAAGTGAGAAAAATGCAAAACTTTTGAATATTTTTAATAGAAATTGGGAAAAACACCAAACAATCTTTGTTTAGGAATCTTGCCTTTAGTTTTTCCTAAACTGAAGCAACATGAACAATTAAATCAGTTTTTGTAAACAGCTAAGTCAGTGGTTCTCAACCTGTGGGTCGGGACCCCATTTGGGGTCTCATGGGGGTTGCCAAGCAAGGCTGTCCGCCATTTTTTTTGTCCGCCATTTTTTCCCCTTTTCCGGCGGGTGCCTTACCTCCCTTGGGCTGGGCCAGCTGGTGGTCGGCCTGCTCCGTCTCTGCCGCTTGCCAGCTACGCCTCGGCCGGCGCAGGGGGCGGAACCACGCATGCGTGGCGCTCCCGGGCAGGGAAAGTCCTCGATTTACGACCGGTTGGGTAGTCCTCAACTTACGACCGGTTTAGTCCTCGACTTACGACCGGTTTAGTCCTCGACTTACGACCGGTTTAGTCCTCGACTTACGACCGGTTGGGGTCGCAGCATTAAAAAGGTTGAGAACCACTGAGCTAAGTTTACTATTGCAAAGCACTAGGAAACTAAACTGCATGCTTCCGTGGTTCAATGGTGCTTAACGATTTGGGAAATTGCATTGGTTAAAAGATTCACATAATCCAATTGCTATGAAAATACCCACAATTAGATTTAGTCAAATATGCTATATTCTAGCTAAATGAATCTTCATTCCTACAAATTATCCTTGCCTGTAGAAAGGTTCTGGATAAAATGCTTATTTATGAGTCTGTATTTTTTTTTACTTTTTTGTTTATCATTTGATTTCTAATTTATTAGTTTTTGTCTTGGTGATTTATTTAGTTGGTTTTTTAAAAGTTGATATTCTGTGCACAAATAGATGTTTGCTTTTTTTTCCTACACCACTGATAAGCTGAGTGATGCAGTGGCCACATACCCAAACAGTGATTCAAACACAGCAAAATAGATAATTAGTGGGTGGGGTTTGAGGGAGTATAACATGTTTTACAGCTGCTCTTGACAGTGATATGAAGGGCTGCCTTGCTTCCCTGCTAATTTATGTCAATCAACAGCCAATGATTCAGGGGGAGTTGAGAAAGATGCTGTCTGCATTCTGAGCATCTCTCCTCTTGACAGTGAGTAGGAAAATGCATTTAATCTGGCACTGAGCTGAACCATTCTGTGGGAAATGAATAGACAGTTCTGAAAGGGGATTTTACATCTGATTTCTCTGAGGAATTGTGTAATTTCAGTGTATGTTCCATGGGACATTAAAAAAATATTTTAAATTGATTTTTAACATTCTGTGTCTCATAAATCTTGTGTTATATTTGATTTATCAAAGTTCAACTGGAATTGACAGAATTGGTTCTTCCTTGCAGGGAATGGCAATATGTTGAAATATAGTCAGTTTCAGTTTTATTGATCTGCTTGTGACCCATAAATTTTCCTTTCCAGTTTTCTGTGTCCATAAGAGTCAGTTTGGTGAGTGTTAAGGCACCAGAGTAAAAACTAGGAGATTGTGAATTATAGTTCTGCCTTGGGCATACAACCAGCTGTGTGACCTTGAGCCAGTCACTTTCTCATCTATAGGAAAAAGGCAAGGGCAAACCATTTGTGAGAATCTTGACAAAAAAACTGCAGAGACTTGCCCAGTCAGTTGCCAGGAATGAAGGCTTAAAGCAGGGGTGTCAAACTGCTGGCCTGCAGGCCGGATGCATCATAGCGAAACCATGCCCACCCCATTGCCGGCAATGGCAAAAAAGGTCACAATACGTCGCAACACATCACGTGACGTTGCAAGTTTGACACCCCTGGCTTAAAGTATTATTTGAAGATGGAGTTACTTTAGTAGAGAAACTCTGCTTGCTAGCTACAAATTCTGGAAAGAAAGATAATAGGAAGAGCAGAGGGGTAAGATTAATAAAGGTACTTAAAGCTTTGAAGATTGTAGCATATTTTAGAGGCAAAATGCTTTGTTAAAAGTAATAAAGTATTTATGATTAGAGTAGTATCAATATTGATGATTTGATGCTAGCTATATGCATAGTTAAGAACATATGCAGTGCCTTTGCCTGACTGGACTTCTGGCCCACCTAATCCATCAGTCTTCTTTCACAGTGACCAACCTTCCGAGGCAGTCATGCTGCTATCAAGGCTAATAGCATAGAATCAATATAGAGTCTAAGGATTGCATTTATCCAGTTGCTCCTCACCAATAATCAAACATGCAAAGTTCTTGCTTTTCTATATTCATTTCAGGGAGTACAGTAATATTTTTGAAGCTTTAGGTAGATTCTTTGTTGGACAAAGAGGGACCTTGGACAGCTCCCTTGCTTCTTTCCCCATCTGAAGAAGTGAAATTCTGTCATCTTCTGTCCAATAATCGATTGGTATAATTTGTCCAATACTCTACAGTACTGCTCTACATCTATGCAGAGATCTGGATTTAATGGCAAAATTTCTTTCAGAGTATATATAGGCACAGATGTAGCTCTTGTTGGGCTTACCTTAAAACAACTGTACCTTTTCCGTTCTCATGAGATCCCAGGAAAAGACATTCTTGCCTTTCAGATCAAGATCTCTGCATAGTTCTAGTATCTATTCTGAGAACCAATCCAGATGTACAGTTTGGTCTCCTAAGTGGGAAGGGCCTTTGTGCACATTATAGAGGAAAAACAGTTAGAGAGGTCCACATGTTTAATTGGGAACTGGACAGCATACATATAATCCTTTCACATGAAGGAATTTTCAAAGCAATAAATCCAGTTGATCATATGGATAAGACGAGTGACTATTGTGAATTGGAGAATATATATTAAATCTAGGTTTGGAGAGACTGTCTTGGACTACTACTATACATGACAGCAGTATGTAAGGATTCCAGCTGCATCTAGAAGGACAGTGAAAAAAACTAATGCCTAATAATGAGAGATCTTGAAGCCAATCTACTAAAAAATAGTTGTAGGATTTTTAGCCAATGAGACTGCAAGGGAGTTAGAATCCTTTTATGCAAAATATGGAGCATATTCATTTCCTGTTGCTGCATTTCCCATTCCTGCAGAAGCCAAGGTTAGAACCAATGGATAAAAGCTGCAAACTTCCTAACAGTATTTAACAATGGATCAATTTAACAATTGGAAAAGACACTGTTTCCTCAGTGGAGACTTTTAAGAAAATATTTGTCCAGAATACTCCAGTTGTATTTTGTACTGCAGATCTGTTACATATCGAGAAGTGGGCCCTGTATCTTTTAATTCTGTCCACCAACAGTTGGCTGAGTTGCTGCTAGGAATTGTTGCTTATTTCATAGGTTGTTCACCAATTAGTTGTTAGGAAGTGCTTTTTAATCAAATTAGTATATATTTTGACTGCATTAAAATGGTTAGCTAGAAGAAAAAAGCAAGGTTCTACATTTAGGCAAGAAAAACCAAATGCACAAGTACAGCATAGGTGGCACCTTGCTCAATAGTAGTAACTGTGAGAGGGACCTCGGAGTCCTAGTGGACAATCACCTAAATATGAGCCAGCAGTGTGCTGCAGCTGCCAAAAAGGCCAACACAGTGCTAGGCTGCATTAACAGAGGGATAGAATNAGAAGAGACTGGACAGCCATTTGTCCGAAATGGTATAGGGTTTCCTGCCTGAGCAGGGGGTTGGACTAGATGACCTTCAAGGTCCCTTCCAACTTTACTATTATTATTATTATTATTATTATTATTATTATTATTATTATTATTATTATTATTATTATTATTATTATTATTATTATTATTATTATTATTATTATTATGTGGAACTTTTTGTTACAAGGTGATATATTTCTTGTTCCCACTTACTGGAAATAATGAAGGACATCTGGTCTCATAGTCTGTGAGCTTTATCTGAAAATCTGGTTGGTTATTTTGGTTAGTCTGAGCTTGGAATACCAATTAATGATTATCTTTGCATTTAATAGTCTTTACATTTATGCTGTTTTGAGTTACTGCTCAGTCATTTTAAAGGATTACAAGCCATTATAACCCTTTTTAAAATATTATTTCCTAGAAGATTAAAATACGAACAGCTGGAAATTCAGCAGAATCCATTCTAGTGCAATTTACAGGTAGGGGTAAGAGTGTATCTGTAAGGTATCCTGGTGATGATGTAGATTTCACAGAGAACTAAATTAATCCCTCTTGAAAACCTCCATTTTTTTCCAGCTTGCGGCAGTTGCCACAAATACTTACATTAAAAGCCTTTTTAATCCCCTGAACAAAATTAATTTGCTTTAGTGTTCAATCTGATTTTCAGTTTGAATGTTTGTGTTTTCATGGAATGTTCTGGTAGGCAACTCAATATTTGCATTGCAGTTTTTTAATTGTCATTTTTTTAAAAAATTGAAACCTTTTTAATTTAATGGATCAAAATATTTCACCTGACAAATAAATATTCTATATAAATATAGAGTAGTGTACTCAACAATATGTGTATATTATGACAGCAGAGTATGGTAGCAATATTAATATTAATTAATTAATATTAATGTATAGTTATAGGAGAAGGGCCTAATGCTGGGAAAGATGGAGGGCAATTGAAGAAGGGGACGACAGAGAATGAGGTGGCTGGATGGAGTCACTGAAGCAGTAGGCGTGAGCTTAAATGGACTCCAGAAGATGGTAGAGGACAGGAAGACCTGGAGGAACATTGTCCATGGGGTCGCGATGGGTCAGACACGACTTCGCAATTAACAGCAACAAAGCTGGGTAGTTTGCTTCCAATATGTGGAAGGTGGTACCAGTTCTGATTATTTTAAAGGGGGACTGGACAAAGAAATGGAGGATTGTGCCATCAGTGCCCAGAACTCTTCATGACTAAATCAGAGGTAGCGTATCTTAAATAGTAGCTGCTGGGATGCAACACTGAAAAGCACTACATTTTTTTCCTCCTATAAATATTTGGGAGCTTCTCTGAATACATTGGACTGGCACTTGCAGGATACAGAAGGACTAGATGGGTTGTTGAAGAAATTGGAATAGTGGTACTATTCCAGATATTAATTACAGCTTTTGGAAATCTGGAAAAATGAAACAATATGTTCTTCTTTGGTCCACATTTTATATTTTACAACAATAGAGTGGGTAATTTTTGATTCTTTCTATTTGTTGGCAATATATTATTACAACGAGATGTTTTGATAAGCAATAGGGTTTCCTGCCTGAGCAGGGGGTTGGACTAGATGACCTCCAAGATCCCTTCCAACTTTATCATTATTATTATTATTATTATTATTATATGATTTCTATATGCTTAATATATACAGTACATATATTAGATGTTTTATATTGGTACATTTGGAATTCCCCCCTCCCTTTCCCCCCCAGGTTTGATTTGGGGGTTGTTTTGTATTTTATTGTCTTTTGTATTTCATTGTTCTGTTTATTTCTATATTTTTGTACTCTGTTTATTTTTGTAGTCTTGCTGCAAAGAAACCCCAAGAAATTTGGAGAAACAACACGATCTTAATCTACATCATTTATAAATTGGTGTTCAGTGATATGCTGCTTCTGTACTGGGAGGTGTCTTTGTGACTAATACCATTAATCATTCTATTTTCTGTTTATTTGTTTTTAAAGATCTACTAGCCAAGGATTGATAGTTTGTGTCTGAATTACATTTAATTAGACATGGTGGAAAACAATTCTTTTTCCTGTTAGTTCAGATATTGTAGCTGATTCCAACAAGCTCTATGATGCACCTTGAATTCTAACATCAGGAGAGAAGAAGCAGAAATGTTTTCCTGTGCTTGCCCTTGGTTCACTATAAAACGTATTGTAGTTATGCCTACCAAAGTAAATGTAATTTTAAAGCCATTATCCATATATTGATGCAGCTGAAAGGAAGCAGGGATGGAGGACAGATAGATGGAATTAGAGGAAGCCACAATGGTCCATCTTTAATGTGAGCTGAATGAATGATTTTGAGTTTTGGGGTTGGGTGCTGATGGGTGATAAAACAGTTGAATGATTCTATAGAGAAACATAGGTACTTATAAATAAAATCTTACAGCTCTGTTTCTGTCTTTGACAGGTGAAGACCCCACTTTTTGCTCATCGGGTGTTCTACAGGAAAAACAACGTGAGTCCTGAAGCTTTTAAAATGTACTCCCATATTTAAGGTTTATTGTACTGTCTAAAAGTACAACAATAGGTAACTTTGAATCTCCCCTGATACTCATTAAAATATCAGCATAATTGCTGGAGAGCTGGTTTTGTTTCCTTTCCAGCAATAATATTGATATTTTAATAATTACAGGCAAACAACCAATTATTCTGGCTACAGGTAGTTCTCGTTTAACAACCACTCATTCAGCAACTGTTGGAAGTTACAAAGGTGCTATATTTACAACAGGTCCTCGAAGTTCAAACTGTTCGAATACCCCTACAGTCATGTGATCATGACTGGCAACCAACTTGTACATAGGAAGGTTGCAGTGTCCTGTGGTGACATGATCAACAAGCAAAGTCAAGCTGGTAGATAAGTCAACTCACACTATTCCCCCATCTGGCAACAGCCTGCCCTCACCCTTGCTCCACTTCTGCTATGCCTCGTGGACCTCCTATGCTGCCTCTCCTGCCCAGCGGCCACCACCCTTGGCCTCGCCAGACTCACATCTGCACCCCCTCGCCCAGCAGTAGCCTTTTATTTGCCTGCTGGCTTATTTGTAAACCATCTGAGACTTGCTTAACAACAGCAATAAGGAGTGCCAAGATTGCCTTCTTACACTTTTCAACCACATTGCTTAGTGATTGCTGGTCACAATTACAGTTGTTAACCAAAGACTACTGTAATTCATTAATGACAGAGAAGACATGCTGCTCAGTGCATAGTTTCCAGTGCATCTTGGTTCCAAGCTTAGTCCCCAGTATCTGAATTTTTTGTAGAAAAAAGATTTTGGATGCGATGAGTTAGTAAGATATTTGGACACTGTTGTCAGTCAAGATAAACAGGACATGGGGAAAATGCTGCAGATTCAGAAGAAGACACTATTGCCTATGAACCCAAACGATGTCTTTCATTTTTCTCATCTAAATTGAAATAAATTTGACATGGCAGAATGTAATAAAAACTCTTCCACTTTTCCAAAATTGTTTAGCTACACTAAACTAAGACTAGGTGATTAATTGAATTGAACTGAATTCACTGATAACTAATGGCAAGTGAAAAAAATATAGGAAGCTAAAAATGGCATACCAGTTAATGAAATATTCTAAAGAGTTTTCTGTATTGAGTGTATTTATTCAGAATATTTACAAATGAAATGTGAGGTTAATGCAGTCATAATAAAAACAGTGAATTTTACTGAAGTGTGTTGGCCTTTCCTTAATTAATTTGCACCTCAAATGAGGATCATAATTTCCATGGGTTATCAGGAAACAGAAAATGGAAGAATGCTGTTATTCCAGATGCAATTATGATATTTGTGTAAAATATATGGGTTAAGTTTGGAAAATGAAAAAGAATAGATGTTCCAGCAAGATTTGATATGAAAGACATTGTCAGAATAAAAAGTCCAAGTAATGAACAGTTTCAGCTCACTTAATGTATGAGAAAGGGAAGCCAAGAAGCTATGAGAAGAAAAATTTCAAGAGGAGGAGATCCAAATGACTTTCGAATAAGCTATATAGTATCTTGACAGCTGGGGAAAGGAAAGACGAGAATTTTCCTAACCCCCTGTAACTTCAGTATTGTCAGATATGGCATCCTCTCCTTTGTTACTTTTGTGTGATCTCAACATGAAGGTACTTTGTACTCAAATCAAGTGAGCCTACAAAATTTGCCCTCTTGTATGGCATTTTCTTTTTTACAATCCTTTAGGATCTCAATCCTTTTCTAGTTTAAAACACTTTTATGACCACTTGCTAATAGGAAGCATATGCCAGCAGCTATGCATAAGTTTATTTCTCTGTAACAGATTTGTTATTATAAACAGCTAGCAACAGTGCAACAGATGGCAGAAAACTGACAACTTTTTATGGGAATGTGAAAATGGGAAGTGTCTCTTTTCCTTCTCTCCTTTTACTGAGATGGCACTTCCTCAGATGATGGCATTAAAAAAAACAGATCTGAAAGGTGTGGAGGCCCAATTTTTCATTCCCTTGTGAGTCTGAATGTACTTAGTTGGTCTGATTAAATACAGCATTTTGGCAAATTCTTCAGGGATGAAAGATAAGCACATCTGACATTTTCCAGAACTACTTATGGACTCCATCATTCTGCAGCCTTTTACAGTAGGCAGCATAAGCTTTCTCAGCCATTATTTCTTGCTATGCCAAATGTAAGCAAGGATAGCAAGCGATCTTTATTCTTCCTAGATGCAATGACTGGATCTACATATTGCACTAAAGCATAGTTTGTTTAATTGTGATTCATTAAATGAAGTATAATTGGTTGCCTTCATACAAAATAATCTATGCTATTATATCTTGCTTATTATAGTGCCTGAACCAGGCCAGTAAATAAATACTTGATAGGTTTCTAAAATCTGACTCATATCCTTCTCTAAAGAAGAGTCCACCTCATTCTCGTCTTTCTCCATATGTCCTCAGTGGAGGCAGCCAAGTTCATCTATCAAGACACATAGCTACAGATCCTCTGAAAACTTTAGTTTTCATTGCACAATCATATTTATATAATCCACTGCTTTCTCCCAGAACTTGGTAAGTATAGGACAGTGTAGAACAGTAATGGTGAACCTTTTAGAGACCAAGTGCCCCAAACCACCTCACCCCTGCCCTGCTCCCGCCTCTTGTTTTCTAAAAGTTCCGAACAAGATTCCCCATATTGACCAAAACATACATAATTTCTATGTGGCTTTATGGCATCCACATGTAACTGAGTAGGTAGGAGCTTTCCAGTCTGAATTTTCTTTTTCAGTAAATATTCATAGCCAATTCTAAATTGTTCCTTCTAGGTAGTGTAAAATAAGGAAATGCATCAGAGTTTGAACAGTTTTTCATGTTGGGGATTGGTTTAGTCATTTGTTCCTTTGTAACACAGATTAATTTTGTTTAACCAGAGAGTGAATAGCTGTTTTCCTTCTCTTCCATGGAACCCTTTGCTTTTACTCAATTGAAATTCATCCAAATCTAATTGGGGGATTTTATTAAGGCAGAACTCCATAGGACAATTTTGTTGCCTGCGGCTTTATCAGTCCTAAAATCCTCTTCAGTAATGGAAATATGCTACCTTTCAGCAGCTTAGATCATCCATCTATCCATCCATCCATCCATTCAACTTTTATAGCCAAGTGACTTTACAATTCTTCTCCCTAGCAGAGATATTTTCTGGTAATGTTAGTAGTGGAATACCTGGTCATCTATAATTGCATTAAAAGTTTGAGTGTCTAATTTCACCCTGGAATATTAAATTGGATCTCCACTTTCTGATTCAGCATAGAGTCTCTCTTTTTTTTGGCATGCCCCTGCAATTCAATTATCTGGTCTCTTGGACAGGCTGACAAGTGAACATATATTATTATTATTATTATTATTATTATTTTAATTTGTATACCGCCCTTCTCCCATAGGACTCAGGGCGGTTCACAGCATATTAAAAACAAATAATATACACAAAATACAAAAAATACAAAATACAAAAATACAAAAATACAAAAAATAAACCCTGATAAAAGCCGAATTAAAACCAAATATTACCAGCTGTGTTTCCGATTAAAATACTTTTAAAATTATCCCTACCTAAAATCCTCCCTAGGTCAGGCCCGCTTGCTGAAAAAGCCATGTCTTGAGGGCGCGGCGGAAAGTAAGGAGATCCGGAATCATCCGGATCTCGGGGGGTAGTTCATTCCAGA